AATCGTCTCGCGCGTTAATTCAACTTTTTTCGATGCGTGCCAAGATATCTCGATACGTTCGTTATTTCGTTTATTCGCCAATAGAGAATTTCTTTCTAGAAACGGACCGTGACACAGTGTTTTGTTTTCATGGTCACGATCGATGCTGCGATGTCTCAGTTTTCATACCTCGTTCCCTGAAACAGTTGTCTTGCGAGGATTCTTCTGTTCCTTAGTCCCTTCTTCTTTTTTTTACAGGTATTCGTCTACCCGTTTGTTGAAGCGGAACCGTTGAACGACGGGAATTTCAGTCTCACGAGATATCTCGCCTTATCGGTCAGCGGGAGTTATTTCGTAACGAGAAAGAGATCACCGCTATACAAACAGGAGGAAGATCACGGAATGGCATTATCTATGGTGGCTGTTCCATCTGGAACAGCTTCGGTCCCAGCTGGAACTGGTATCGCACAGAGTGAAGAGGTTGAGAATGGAGATGTTTTTAGCGAACGTAATATTAACTCAGTTACCAGCTGCAATGAAACATCCAGTCCCGGAGATGCTTTGGAGGAAATTAACTGTGGTACCGATGAGAATGGTGATCAAGAGTGTGCAATTTGTATGGGCAAACTATGTTCGCCACGAGTGCTCTCTTGTCTTCACGTGTTTTGCGAGGCTTGCTTGGATAAGCTTTTGATGGACGAGGCAGGTGACCCAAAGGTCAGCTCGGTACTCGTCTGTCCTATCTGTCAACAAGAAACTTCCATTAGTTCTAAGGGTGCCGCATCGCTCACTTGCGACTATGTTCTAACTAATATACTTGACATGTCTGCGATCGAAAACATGGCTGTACTATGTACCTCGTGCAAAGCCAAAGATAGCGCGGTCGCGCGGTGTTCGGACTGTGCCAACTTCTTGTGCCCAAGTTGTGACTGTGCACACCAGTTTATGCGCTGTTTTGAAAGCCACAAGGTAGTCGCCTTTGAAGATTTAAAGAAATCCAACGAAACTGTACCAATACACAAACCTATTTTTTGTGAATGTCATCCTGCTGAGAATATGAAGTTTTACTGTTACACTTGTCAGGTAAATTTTTCTTTTAATATGGTGTAACATATTGAAACGTATTGAAATATATAACTGGGCCCGTACATCGTATGGATTATGGTGGAATGCGTTAGAAAATAATATCAATTTTTGCGTCTAAAAAGTACTTTAGAATAAACCAAAAAATTATATGCCATTTTTTTTAATTATTAGGAACCTATATGTAATGAGTGTTTGCTTGTCGAACATAAAGCCCCAGATCATCAATACGAACGATTGCTAGATGCAGAACCACGCCAAAAAGAAGAATTAATCAAATTAGTAAATGAAAGTAAAGCGAGAATTGCCGATTGTGATCAGGTGTCTGCTCAACTGGACAATGCACTTAGAGAACTTCAAGCTCAACATGACCAGGCGAAAGATCTGATTATAGAAACATTTCAAAGTTACAAAGCTATATTAGAAAAATGCCGGGATAATGCCTTGGATGAGCTAGAAAAATTGCATTCTGATAGAGAATTGGAAATAATGGACTCATTTCATAGGTCAGCCAAAATTATTTTTTGAACATTATACGTTAAATGTTCTTTAACTTTTAAGTATGGACTTGCAATCTTACAGACCCCTATATAAAATATTGGGAATTTTGAAATCAGTGAAATTTTCGTTATACAGTTGAAACTATTGCTAAGTAGAGATATTTATATAAGTAAAAACAGATAAATACAATAAGTTTGTTTATTAGTTGTTACAAACGGGAATATTTAACATTAATCGTTAATTTTTAAACTTCCATACTTGTTAATGTTAAATTCATGTCCATACTTAAGGGTTCAATGTTCTTTGATCAATTTATTTATTTATTCGTTTTCTCTTGCTCAGTGTTGAAAAAACTGTAGAGAAGATAGAAAATGCCTGTCGTTTCACCTCCAGACTTTTGGAATACGGTGACGCCGTGGAGATTCTAGCACTTCGCCGGATCGTAGGAACTCAGTTAACGAATTTAATAAAAAATACACCGAAGCCAAATGTTTCTTTTTCCATCGAATTTCAGACTGATTACAATCAATTTGAAGAAACAGTGAAGGTAAATCTTGTGTTCTTAAAATGTTCGTCCTCGAAAGAAAGATTAATTTCGAAAAAACATACATGAATATTTGTAGGACGTGTTTGGAAAATTTCACACCGAGAGTACACCAGTCGTAAAAAGTGAGGCACTTACCACTGTCCCAGGAGTGAGTACGAGTCAACAAGTTGTTCACACTTCGATGGGTTGTCCGCGTTCCATTAGCATAAGGTCTCCCATATCTCTTCCTGCGTCAATGCAATCTTCGTTTGAAGGTGAACCTTCATTTGTTATACCTCCGACATCCAGTCCTCAGAATATTCCACCTCCACCGCCACCTGTATCCCTTCCCCCAGGTCCTATCCATGGCCTTACCAGTATTCAAGAGTACAATCTGCAACAACTAGCCAGTTTAGCAGAAAAGGTTGAAATGGTTGGAGACACAAATGTGGTTGGACCCGCTTCAAGCCCTAACCCAACTCAACCTTTCATTTTGGCTGAGTTGTTCGCTGGTGATCTAAGTTCCACAAGTCATGCAATTAATAATCTGCAAGCTTTGGCTAAGTTAGGGAACACGCTTGGCAATCAAGGTGAGGAAATAATATTATTTTGCAACTTCTCAAAATAAGGACTAAGATTATAATTCCATTTATTTATCTTCGCAGATCTTGGAAATCCTGCGATCAATGGCGGCAGTGGTTTGGTATTGGGCAGAGGTCCATCACCAGCAATTGTGGATACACCAAATTTAAGTCTAGCTCCCAACAGTCTTTTAAATGGAGGGTTTCAGTCACTATCATCCTCCACTTCTCCGATAATTTCACAGAGTGCTGGTAAGATATTACTGAAGGTTTCTTTTTATCACAGAAAAGAAGTGATTTATTTTCTTATAATGAATATTTTCCTCTAGACGACTTAATGGGCGATTCGATGCATAACATACCTGTAGCAGTGGGGAACAGTGTTGGCAACGTGACTGGTTCTGGATCCGGGAATTACGCTCATCCACGTTCGAATAATGCAAAGTTCACGCCCATGCATATCCGTTGTAAATTCGGGCAGTTAGGCCCCAGTAAAGGTCAATTCAGTTCACCCCATGGATTCTGTTTAAGCGCTGATGAAGACATTATTGTCGCCGACACGAATAATCATAGAATTCAAGTACGCGTTAATAAAAATTGGTCATGCTATACCTTTGGTATTAATACACGAAACAATGGACTCATTCGATCCTCTTGCAGATATTTGATAAGACTGGTGTTTTCAAATTCCAATTTGGTGTTCCTGGCAAAGAGGAAGGACAACTGTGGTATCCTAGGAAAGTTGCCGTTATGCGAAACAGTGGGAAATTCGTTGTCTGCGACCGCGGGAATGAACGTTCCAGAATGCAAATATTTACAAAGAACGGTCATTTTATTAAGAAGATAGCAATTCGTTACATCGATATTGTAGCTGGCCTAGCTGTCACTAGCGAGGGTCAGATTTTGGCTGTTGATAGTGTGTCGCCAACAGTGTTTGTGATCAACGAAATAGGAGCCTTGTGTAGGTGGTTTGACTGCAGTGAATATATGAGGGAACCAAGTGATATTGCAATTAGTGGTAAGAAATTAATAATATACACAGCTATTAAGAACTTATTATTATTGTACTTATATGATATACAATGTTGTTATTTACAAAATACAATATTGTTACTTATAATTAACCATGAAAGGTGTGATTATTATATGGATTATACGTTTCACAGGTAAAGAATATTTTGTGTGCGACTTCAAGGGACATTGTGTGGTAGTGTTCAGCGAGTCAGGCAAGTTTTTGCGTCGCATTGGCTGTGACAACGTAACAAATTTCCCAAACGGGATAGATATTAGCGATGCAGGCGACATATTGATAGGAGATTCGCACGGTAATCGTTTTCACGTGGCCGTTTTCTCCAGAGACGGTTCCTTGATTTCAGAATTCGAATGTCCATACGTTAAGGTAAATGTTTACTGTATTAAAAATCCGTTAAACGAGGGAAGAAATTTTAATCGTATAATTATAATTATATATCTTACACCGGTAATACGAAACAAACGAATCAAACGACGTTTTACAGGTTTCTCGATGTTGCGGCTTGAAAATAACTTCCGAGGGATATATCGTAACGCTGGCTAAAAATAATCATCACGTCCTCGTACTGAACACTCTTTACATATCATGAAGCGAGGAAGCAGACCAATCAAGTACGTCACAATTATCTTCCGCAAGTGGAACTTCCTTGTGAGAAAATACAAAATCGCTCTGCTCTCAACGAAAGATTAAATCGACAAAGAAGAAATAAAAAAAACTGAAAAAAAGTAATGCCTGGTGGCGATCGAAGTTCTTTTGAGATTCGGGCCTATCAAAGCAATAGTAAAGCAAGTGCAGCATGCAGCCTTAATAGTCTGTAAAAAAGGAACAAAAACCTTTAAAAAAAAGAAGAAGAAGAAGAAGTTTAATGCGTCCCTGTTTTATGAAAGTAAACAACGTCGAAACGATGAAAATGGTGAAACGTAAACGTCTCCGACCAAAAGTGAAACAAATAAAAAAACAAACAAAAACAGTATAAATAGTGATTTAGCGAGTTGCATTTGGTAAATTGCCAAAATAAATTTAAAAAAACATCAAGAGGAGGAAGTGGTGGACGAGGAAAGGGAAACGACGAGTGAATGGGAACGGTTCGGCGGATGGGGCAACAAGACGAAGAGGAAGAGGAGGAGAAGGAGGAAGGGAATGGAAACTTCAGAGACACAAGTAGCTTTTCATCAGAGTCATCGGTTACATCTTCATCTTCGACTCGTCAGTATTTTAGGTATGTTTACAAATCAAATTATTCTAGTCTTCAACGAGCACCGTTTACACGCTGGTTTCGATCTGTGCTCTCGAAGCAACAACTTTTTTCGTGTATTTTTAACCGGGTTCTCCGTATTATGGAACCACATGGCGTACACACATAGAAGTACACATAGTAGACACACATACACACACACACGCGCATACAAAGACAAGACAAACACACACGAAGAAAGAGTACACGGTATACACGGTTCTTTCTTCCGAAACGTTACTTCGAGACCTATTTCGTAGACACGCTAAGTTTCTAAAGGTTTCGTTAAGGAATCGTTAGGTTAATCCGGTATAGAGAGAGGGAAAGCGGTGAAAAAATAAAAATAAAAAAACAAACGTACGAAACGTAAATTCTTGTGCTTAACGCGTGGGGATAAAATGCGTTGCATGCTGCGACACACGGTAGTACTTCCTGCTCTTATGTCATATCATATCTCTAACAAATTGAAACGAAAGAAAAATGGAAAAAAAATATTCAGTACTCCTTGTCACGGCAGGTATATACAAATCTTAGCGAACTAAAAATGGAAAAA